AGAACTGACCAGCGAGCGACGACGGGATTTGATACGAAAACGAGACACGCGAAGCGTGCCAAAGCCCTTCCGCTCTAAACGACGGGCCGTAGCACAGTGGGAAGCTCGACAATATTTTCTGGATTGAATTTGGATTTTTCTCTTTTCACGCCGTGCCCGCGCGCGCATTCCGCAACGCGCGAAAGCAACCGACTTACTTCATCGGATCAACACGGGGGATTTCAGTTCCGTCTGTGTCCCCACACTCACTTTCTAAAAATCCTTCGCACACCCCATCTTGCTGTTTTTCTGGGCCTCTTTCCGCACGTCTAGCACTCCGAACGAAAGACAGCACAGGGCGTAAGGTTGGTATTGAAGCCGACACGTGTCGGTTCTGATAATAGTAAGTCGAACTGGCGAGAGGTAGAATAAGAAGTCCCCCACCCGCTCGCCGAGATCGTCCAGTCACCAGATCTATATCTGCTGCTGCTATACCAGCTATACCAATGGTGGACGGTAATAGGGTAGTGGTTAGCATTCCCGCCCCCTTCCTCTTCTTCCCTAATTATACCCACCCCGAAGCTTGGGCGGAAGCCATTGAAGCTCAAGGATAAAGCGCGGGTGACCTTCCCCGCGTTCTTACCTTGCTGCTTCGGAATATGGCGCATGACTGGTTCAGGAAGCACACGTGGGTAGATTGGAATACTTTCAAACAAGCATTCTTGGCTCGATTCGATACGGTCAGTGAAGATGTTGCCTGGTACGTACTCAAAACTCGACCACAAGGACCAGGGGAATCGCTGCCCGATTTCGTGGATCGATTTCAAACCACGTTGGACAAATCTGGGCGAGATGAGAAATCCACTCGAGACTTGTTCATCGATCACCTAGGAAGTCCGACGTTGAAAGGGAAGTTACAGAAAAAGGTCCCGCCGAAGACACACCAGCTATCTACTATCATCACTAAAGCGTTGGAACTGGACCTGGCTGATACAAAAAAATACATCAGTCAGGAATATGAAGATATTACGGACACCATACAGGATGTAATGGCTAAACGGCGATCGTGGCTGCGGGCGGTAGAATGGTTTTATCCCCGTCCCAACCATGACCTTCCCGACGGGGCCACTTCCGATATCCCGCCTGTTCCCTCCTCCTCTCCCCCAACGAATCAACCGATAGCGACAGTTAGGAGTGGAATCTTTCACGAAACCCCCTCACCGACCGTAACCAACTTACATCTTGCCCAAATGATCCATACGGCCACTACCAAGCAGTCTGAATGGATGAGCAACTTGATTCAAATGCAGGCAGCTCACATGGAGCGGATGGAACAAATAATGAGCAGGTTAATTAAGCCCAACCCAGCCCCTGCTCGACCTGCCCCCACGCCATTTCCTCTCTTGCCTGCCCCGCCCGCTCCTGGCTATCCACCACAGTTCCCTCACCCGGCTAATCCAGCAGGAAAGGTCGAATGTTTTATTTGCAAACAGCCCAGACATTTTGCCCGGGACTGTCTGCAACCAAAACGTAATCAACCCCCGCCGGCTGCGGCCCCTGTTGCTCTAAACCAAGGACGAATGGCCGCATTGATGGACACGGCCCAAGGAGGAGAACTCGTTGCATATGAGCAGCCTTCCCTCTCAACGGCAATAACGTCAACATCGGGATTTGCTTCCTCTGACGCTGCTGACGTGGTCGATCCACTCGAGTATATTGACCTAGCGGGCATGATCGGGGCGGTCCGATCGACCCCTGATGATGTTGAATGAGTCGATCACGATTCTAATCCTGGTCCACAGTTTAGGATGGGCGAAATCCATGTGTTACGAGCACTCAAGCAGCTAGATATCCGTGTTCCGATTCCGGTGGGACACTTGTTCACCATATCTGAAGCTCCAAACAACAAACTGTTACAACAATGTCAGAAGAATCAAAAGCGCTTTACGTACCAGCACATCCAACGAATATTAAAAAAGAAGGAGGAGGAAAGAGAGGATGTTGCGCCACCAGAACCTGAAACGGGTGAACCCGAAGCAGCACGAGTAGTTGCGATCTCTTTAGCAGAGAAGGATCACTTCGTACGAGCTCGGCCGTTACTATGGAAGAGCGCGAAATGTGATTGTGAAGTCTCGAGCAAGTCGTTTAATGCCCTTATTAACACAGGGTCTTCTGCAGTGGCCATATCATTACACACTGTCAGAAAGACGGGACGACTCGGATCCATTCTTCCTCAATCTGGCAAAGACAATTATGTCTTTGCCGACGAGGAAGCAATGAACATCGTGGGCATTATTGAGAATGTGGCTGTAAAGGTTGGACGAGTACACGTCCTTGTTAACGCACTAGTAATAGATGTGCGTTCCTATTCTGTGTTGTTAGGATTACCTTGGGCGATGGCGGTGAGCGCACGTTTGCATTTTGATTCCAGACAACTGGTGCTCACGCAAACTGGGGGAAAGCCTCAAACTGTTCCCTTGCGAATTTCCACCCGAACGATAAAACAAACTCCTAACTCAACCCAAATAGGGATGATTCGATGCATCGATACAGAGGAGTATTCATCCTCGGACATCGGCAGCAGAATCGAGGAACAGGAATACGAAGAAGAACTGCCTAGTGAGGATGAATGGAAGCACCTGGTCGAACTTTTCGAACACGAAATTCCCGAAGAATTTCAAGTGTGCCCCGACACAGCGCGAAGCTTCCACGTGGATTCAGGAGACAGCGCGCTTGCGCCTCCGAAAACACAAGTCAGTCCTTCAGTCCTCCTAGGGGAACCCATATTACAAGTGTCTGACCTGGCTGATGATTTGGAACCCCCTCGCACCTTGTACGCGGGATCGCTTTCCTTACGAACACATTATCAACAAACGGAATAGTATTTAAACGTTTCTGTTTTCCCGCCCCGATCGTTACTAACAACGGGGGCGACCATCGCTTTGATTAAACAGAAGGCAAAAGCGTCGGTAGATGACGTGCCTGATCTAATGCAAGAGATGACGGACCTAACAAGACTGACTGTGGAGCAGATTTCGACCGACTCAAGAACTGACGCCGAAACTAAAGAAACCGAAATGATTAGCCCCGCCGAATCACAGATGATTGCGACTATCTTTTCTGTTCGCAGCAGCAGTTCTGTCTTTTCCGGTGTTTACGATCGAAGGGAGCGGCCGGTTGATCGGATCGACATACCCCTTAAGACTCATGGGGAATCAACGATCACTCTGCCAAGCCACGTCCCCACGAAACTTCGAAAGTCACTAATCAATGTTTTGAACGGTTATGCAGAAGTGTTGAGCGTGCATGATAATGATATCGGTTTGACTAACGTGATCGAGCATGCCATCCTCACGGGAGAACATCCGCCCATTAGCTGCGCTCCTTACCGATACCCGCCAGCTCAAAGAGCGGCCACTTTTCAACGGATTAAGGAGTTTGAAGTTAATGGATGGATCGAACCCGCTATAGGTCCATGCTCTTTTCCCGTAGTGATCGTGCTTAAAAAGGCCGGAGGGATTCGCATTTGCATAGATTATCGAAAATTGAATGATATCACGATCAAGGATGTGTACGCCCTCCCCCGGATTGATGAGTTGTTGGATGCGATTAGGAGTGCTCGATTTTTCAGTAAGTTTGATGTCCGCCATGGGTTCCATCATCTTCTTGTCCGAGAGGAAGATCGTCCGAAAACGGCGTTTGTGCTTTTCGAGGGTACGTGGCAGTGGGTCCGGTGTCCGATGGGTATCTGCAACGCTCCCACGAGCTTTCAGAGAGCCATGAATATGGCTTTTCAGAATTTCGTACGGAAGACTCGTTTGGCGCAGAGCATCATCAACTATTGCGTGATTGTGTACATGGACGACATTCTGGTGTACTCGAGTTCCTACGAGGGATACGTGCAGCACATCGAATGGGCTCTCCATGCGCTACGAGATGCGGGTTTCAAGGTGGCGCTTGAGAAGTGTCAGTTCTTTCTTACCACCATTTCCTTCCTGGGACACGTGGTAACACACAAGGGGCTCCAACCGGAGCCCCACAAGGTGGCAGCTGTCAGAGATGCGCCGGTGCCTACGACTATCACGCAAGTTCGCGCCTTTTTGGGCCTGGCCTCGTACTACCGAAAATTTATCAAGGGCTTCGCGGCGATCGCGGGACCCCTCACGAATCTGCTGCGCAAAGATCAACCGTTGATCTGGACGTCGGGGTGTGATCAAGCGTTCTCGAAACTCAAGGCCGCTCTCATTTCAGCTCCGGTCCTTATAAGACCGGATCCCGAAAAGCCTTTGTTCTCATCACTGACTGGCAGCCAGAGGCAATTTCGGCTATCCTTGCCCAAGTGGGACCAAGTGGACTCGAGAGCGTGGTGGAGTATGCGTCCAAATCGGTGCCCGCCTGCAAGCGCAACTACGCCGCTCCGGCGATAGAATGCTACGCGGCTCTTTGGGGAATCAGTCACTTTCGCGCTTACCTGTACGGGCGGAAGTTCACATTGGTAACCGATCATGAGCCCCTGTTGATTCTGAAGAAATCGAAGGATTACTCTAGCATGATCGGGCGATGGGCAACGGTGCTACAGAGCATGGACTTTGACATTCGTCATTGGAAGCACGAGAGACACGGGAATGCGGACGGATTGACACGACTGCACCGGCCTGAGAAAGTTCCGAAGAGTGAGGAGGTGATTTCATGGAACGAACCCGAACAAGAGGTTGGACCTCAGTACGGCCAAGTGGAGATCATGTCGAAGCAGTAAGTGACTCGAGGATCAATTTGACTAATTCTACCCTCTCCGCAATTCGGTCCCATCTCTCCTCCTCTATCATCATGACTACCCCACCTGTCTTTGCAACCCCTTCTTCTCCTACTAATTCTGCCCCTCTCACTTCCTCAACTTTCTTTGCCACCCTCCCTGATAAATTCTGCTATTTTTGTACGTGTATTGCACGGGTTTTTGGGGTCGACTGTCATCCTTTCGAAACCGGGTTTATCGATTGGATAGAATGTGCCACGTGTGTCAATCGTGCGCACGGGGCCTGCGTTCGATATCGGACGAGTAGCAAGGAATGGAGGTGCCCCCTGTGTAGAACGAACAAACTCCCCACGGAGGTTCGATTCGAGGCCGCCTGAATGGACGGCCCTGAATACGACGAAAAATACCGACGAGCGGAGGTTTGGACGGATAAAATTTTGTTGGCGAAATTAGCGGGATTATCATTGGGACACCTCACCAAACACGACAGACGTAGGGCAACTGAGAGATCTCGGGACTATCGATGGATCAACGGTCATTTGGAGAAGCGTAAAACTGACGGATCGGGTTCGTGGTTGACGGTTCCCCATCCATTCCAGAGATATGATTGGATCCAATCTGCTCACGAAGAACAGGCCGCTCATTTCGCGATAGATGTCACAGAGGCAACTATAGACCAGAACCGATGGTTCTGGTCCAACATACGAGATGATGTCAGATACATTGTCGCCAACTTTCTGGTCTGTGCCGCTGATCGCGCCCCAATACGGGGACCAAACACGATAGTACCAACGGAAATAGAGCACCTCTTCCAGCGAGTCAGTATGGACACAACAGATATCGACGTGCCACCTGACCCAAATGTGAATATTCTATCCTGTTAGTGTTAATAGACCATTTTTCCAAGTACATCGACGTACATCCCTGTAAGACCCGAAAAGTCGCAGAAATAACCACGTACATCGAACGGTTCCTCTATACCCATCTAGATACGGAAGAAATTCTAACCGACAATGGGTCCGAATTTAAAGGAGAAGTAGAGGAATTGCTCGCACGAAAGGGCGTCACGTCCGACATACGGCACCCCACGTGTACCAGTCGAACGGGTTGGCTGAGAACGCCAACCGTATGATTAAAACCGCCCTTCCCAGGAATTTAGCGGCACACGATACGCGTCCGTGGCCCGAGATCGTATATCAGATTGTCGGGATCCATCGGGCCACCCCTCACAAATCCACGGGGTTTACCCCCTTTCAGCTTCGTACTAATAGCCTCCCCTGTGTGGACTACCGGGGTAACTCGAAAATTGCTGAAGCAGGGGGTAGAGACACGCGTACAGCCCTCAAGGCCAAGGCCAAAAGGTACACTGAATTAATGGAGCGGGCCGTTCCGAAGCTAGCCCGAAAAAGACAAAGGATGACCGATCTGGCCCACGGTAGGCAGGTCCGTAGGTACGAGGCTCGGAATGGAAATGCTGGGCCCCAGCATCAATATAAATTAGGGGACCTAGTGCAGTACGTAAATGTGCATGCGACCACAAACTCGCTCCCAAGTTCTCTGGCTGCTTTCGAGTTGTCGAGCTCGGTTTTTTATGGCGCCAACACAGTGCGCATCGCGCCTGAGGCTAGTGCCAGCCATAGCTCTGTCCCCATCGTCTGTGTAACCGTTTGAACGTCGTGAACGCGCTTTCGCGTTCAAATGTGCGTTTGAACGCGGATTGCGCGTTCACGTTCAAAATTGAACGGCGTTCAATTTTTATTTATTTATTTATTTTTAAATCATTTTAATGCCTAAAAATAACTGTTTTTTTCTGATTTGTTTTTTATGAGTTCTGTATGATGTGAGGTACATGCCTCTCAGTTTTGGAGTCATTTTGCTAATGCAAAAAAAAATGAAAAATCGCCAAAGATGGTGGTGTCAAATCGTGTTCGCTCACTTATTTCAATTCTTTTTTTACTTTTTTTATTTTCTGTTTTCTATTTTGTTTTTCCAATTTGGTAATGAATTTAGATGTAATGCTCAGGCAAATGTTGTTTATTTAATTTTTCTTCATAACATAGTTTTTTTTCGAAATTGCTTGAGTTTTTTTTTTTTTTTTTTTTTTTTTCCCGCGTGGAATTGAACTCCGCGTTCAGTCCCGTTCATTGAACGCGCGTGCATTCCGTTCAATTTCTGAACGGAAAACCCGCGTTCAATGAACTCGCGGTTTCACAGCCCATCATCCGGCATACCTCCTACCTTCGTCTTCTCCCTCCCTCTCATTTTCCTCCCTCTCCCTCCTTCCCTTCGTCTTCCTCTCTGATCTCGCCATGAGTTTCATCACGGAGCGGGCTCTTGATGAATAGCTGTTGCAGCCACGTGGCCATATCTCGGAAATTCGGCAAGTTCGTCATCCGCGGCTTAATATGGATCTTCGGCGATTGGCTCCGTTCTTCTGCGACGTGGGTGTGTGTGCCGCCGCCGCGTTTCAAATCGAAGGGAGTCCACGCGCAGTGGTATTGGCGGAGGTAATCGCAGTTCATCGGCGAGCGGCTCCCGGAACGAGCCACGTCACCACGGTTGCGGCGTTCAGCGGCGATATCAGTTCGGTCAACCCACGGTGGCATACCGCGATCTTGGCTTCGTTGAGAGAGTGGACGGAGCAGGTCTTCAACGTGTGGCAGCACGGTCTCGCCCAACCAGGACAAAATCTCCTCCCGACCTTTGCACCAGATCTTGGCGACATCCGCCGTTCTCCGCGCGAGCCACCAGTTGCGATCCTCACCCTCGTCCCCTTCCCACGTCCCCAATGAACCACGCCGATCCCCTCGCTCCTCTCTCCATCTTCGGTCGCCCCTCTCTTTTTCCCACCTTCTGGCAATCCGATCTTCATCCTTCTCTTTCCTTCTCGTTCGAACCTCTCTCTATCCCGCTTATTAACCCCTGGGCATTGGCGGCTGTGGCGCGAAACTTTTAACGAGTTGTCCTTCTGATTGGCCCGAGTACATGTGACGTGGACGCAGACCAGCGAGCATCCTGCGTGGATTGAAAATTTGGAACTGCGAATCATACAAGCTTGGAGAACTAACGTTGAGGGCTATCTTCTCGGCTTTCTCGTTGGATCGGTACGGCCGGGCCGCCGCCAGTTGATTGCGCAGGAGCTCATCACGAGGATCGTGCAATTGGCGGACGATCTCCCGCCCGACATCTTTTCACAAAGTGACGACAGCCCAGCTCCGTACGTTCTCGAGCGGTCATTGGATCCGTACCTACAATGGACGGCGTGCTTAGAGGAGCCCAGGGACGAAGATACTCTACCTTCCCGGCAGGAGTATCTGAAGCCTTACGACATCATCCCTCACGCCTTCTATCCGAAGGCAGAGGAAGTGGTGATCGACGAGGACGAAGAAGACGACGACGAGGAAACGTCGAAGGAAGGGAGCTATAGCGAGTTTAGTGAGGGCGAGCCGAGTGAAGAAGAAGAGGAGAAAGCAGAAACCGGATCTGAATGGGAAGCCTTGCCGGAGGAAGCGGCGCGCACGGGCACGGAGGCGGAAGATCCGGAAGCAACGTGAAGGCGCGAAGAAATTGCCACCGGGAAACGCCAGCTGGAGTTCGCCAGTGGAGCCAGCTTGCGCATCGGTAACGATCCGACCAGGGATCCGGAACCGCCGAAGCCCGAAGATGGCGACCCAGCAGCCGCCACCTCAAGCACCGCGCGACGGAGACGGAGTCGATCCCCCTCCTCCTCCAGCCCCACCCGTCCCACTGTTCGCCCACGTACCGATGCGGGCGATAGGCCTTCGTCCTCGGACGTTAACCCGCCGTCCCCTTGATTTTCTCACCCTTGAACAGATCTGCAACCCCGTCACCTTCCCCCCCCATCCCTTCCTTCCCCACCTCTTCCGCAACTTCTACTCGTCCCGCCTACTCGCAACTGTCTACCCCCACCCATCCCTTCAGCCCGCTGCCCCCACCTTCTGCTGGCATATCCTGTTGTTCAGCGCTGCATGGGAGCAATGCAACATGGTATTAGTCTATTGTGTAGCTACGGGGACAATCCCCGCTCGTCGCCGCTACGAACTCTTTCGAGCGGCGCTCCTCCGCACTCTCTCCTCCTTCTATCGCGACTACCTCGCTTCCCTCCCTCACAGCGGCGATCACTTTCCTCGCTTCCACCGGATCATCCGATATGAGGAGCTTCCGGTGACGGTAGAAGGGATGAATCGGTACCTACCCCCACTTCCTCCCCATCGTCCCCGTGGGATCCCCTCCATATACCGCCTCTACTGGTCCATTCCAACTAGGCGGTAACTCCCGATCACGTGACTATTCCCCCCCCCCCCCCCCCCCCCCCCCCTCCATCTAATCAGCAGGGGAAAACGGCACGTATCAGTAAGCTTCGCGAAGATCACGCCATCGACGATGACGTCAACCTACGCTCTGATTCGACAGGCAGCGATAAACTGGGGTGCAGAGCACACGGAGAACCGGGGAACGATGATGGCGTCACCTGGACGACCATCGATGATTCCATTAGCACGATGGCAATTGAAGATGGCGTCAACATGAGCTCTGGCTGGATCAGTTGTTGAGACGCTTGGTTCCTCATGCATCACTCTGTTCTCTCTCTCCCTCTCTCCCTCTCCGCCATGACATGCAATCAGGAGATCGCATAATTTTGGAACCCCCTGCGCATCACATATGTGACGAACTACTTCCTGAACCCGTGCTATCTTTCGTACCCTTTTCGCTTGTATCATACCCACCCCATAAAGACCCCGTTTCGTTTTTCTTGATTTCGGGTGCCRCGTTTCGAGCCCCCATCTTCCGAAAGCTTTTGTGATTCTTCAGTTCTGCTTTCTTTCCTTTTTGCACGTCGGGATATGCATAGGAATTTACACGCGCCTTAGCGAGCGCACTGGGAATTGGGCCCGGCAGTTGGGTATTCCGGGATAAGCGGAACTTCGACGTGTCCTTTTTGTGTGTGAACTTTCTCGGCCACGTTGGGGAAAACTCTCGGAATTTTTTGGGGATGCGAATAGGCGTAGGACTTTCTTTTCCCGCGTCGCTCTTCCRCGCGCGGATATGGTGATTTCAATTTTGAATTGGTTTAGGATGTAGGCAAGCTGTAACTGTTTCGGTGCCTTTTTCTTTTTTTTTTGTTGATGGTGCCACGCATGCAAAGCTTTCTCCTCTCTGTCCCCCGCATCGCTCTCTCCCGCGCTCCTTTTTCCTTCCCCCTCCTCTTCCTCTCTCCTCGTAACTGTTTTTCTCCCTCTCTTTCTCTCTCCTGCTCAGCTCTTTGCGCGCCCATTTCCCCTTTCTTGATCATCTGAATCTTGAACCCGTCTTGCGCTACTTCTCGCGCCTATTCTTCTCTCGCCCTTCGAGCAAAGCTCGTGAAGTCCGATCGATCCTTCGATTACTTTCGCCCACCAATCAGACGCGGGGTACGGTAGGATCTGCCTATCACGCGACGAGTCTGATTGGTTGGATCTTCGGTTTCGAAGCATCAACATGGCTTCCACGAAGCGCTCATCTCAAAGTTTTTTCCTCGTGCTTCTCCTCTTACACTTCRACTTTCCCCCTGCATTCTCCCTCCCTTGTCGCCCTCCTCGCTGCTATAAATTCCGCAAGCKCGCCCGCAAATCTCTCTTACGTTCTCGACTCTCAAGCCAGCTTCCGGGAAGCAGTGGCTACGAGTCGGAAAGTCCTGTCGGGCTGACGATAGGCTGGTCGGTTGCGCGCTTGATCGCCACGACGGACTGTGGGATTGGGGCGAACCGCGTCGAGTTTTACGTCGGCGGGGTGACGATCGCAGTGGTGGGAGTTAGCACGCGACGGCCGGGATCGTCGATGCGGGTATGAGGATCGATGATTGGAGTCGAGTGAGTGATTGGCCTGGGGCCATGATTGGAATTAACGGCGAATGCGCCTTTCTTGTTGCTGATCTTTATCTCTGGTGTGAGTGTACGGCGRCAACGCCGAACTTCCTCTTTTTGGATCTTGTCCCCTTCTATCTCCCTCTCTCTCCTCTATCTTTGAATGATGAAGTGTCTCGATGTGTGTCGCTCTCTCTCTCTCTCTCAAATGGGAATGAGTCTGCATGCTGTTCCTGTGTGAAAGAACTTCTTCCGGAACTCTTCCATTAGTTTCCTGGGTAGTCCCCCTATGCAGGAACCCCGCCTTCTTGTCTTGTGAACGGTGGATGCGTGTGTACTATTCAGCGATCCATCTTTTATCTCTRTKCATATCTCATTTYCGCACCTTCCACAGTAAATGTATGTATGGAGGTACGTGTCKTTTTGAGTTGATTAGACGATTGTTGTCGGGATTTTGTCCGAGAATGCAAAAGTGTTTAGATCTGTAATTCTGAGTGCGATGCGCRTGCMATCTGCGTTATAATGCGCGACATCTGCACATGATCCAGTTGATGGGTGTTTTCTCTCTCTCTCGTGATTGAAAARGACTRACTGAKGGTTGCGCGAGTGTTTCTTGTTTTTCCTTGATGAAGTCTCGGAGTTTTTGCCATTGAGTGACATGTGGACTGACAAGCACCCTTCGATCGGGCRTCAGCCTCCYGTGCCWCYCGTATCAACACGACCTTTTCCGTACAACGAGGAAAGGACACGTGTATGTGAGTGGGACGTACGAGAAGCTGTCGCACAAATYGGCRGASGATACTACTTCCCTCCGGCAAACCGTTGTTCAGGGTTCGTAGAAGYTGGGTTTGTTATTATCGACACGCACTTTCCACCCTACTCAATACTGCTCCCCTTTAACAAGCTGATCGTCATTCCGTGGACGRCARWGGCGCCCCATTGGCCTCGAACSCTRTGCACASAGTGYCARCGTTTCGATCGCTACGAAGCAAAGGGTTTCCWYTACCGAATAYGGAGTGAAGACGAGCATAAGGAAAGAGCCACGCRGCTGAGACCCTCCACATCAGACTCAGAACTGACCAGCGAGCGACGACGGGATTTGATACGAAAACGAGACACGCGAAGCGTGCCAAAGCCCTTCCGCTCTAAACGACGGGCCGTAGCACGGTGGGAAGCTCGACAATATTTTCTGGATTGAATTTGGATTTTTCTCTTTTCGCGCCGTGCCCGCGTGCGCATTCCGCGACGCGCGAAAGCAACTGACTTACTTCATCGGACCAACACGGGGGATTTCAGTTCCGTCTGTGTCCCCAGACTCAATTTCCAAAAATCGTTGGCACACCCCATCTTGCTGTTTTTCTGGGACTCTTTCCGCACGTCTAGCACTCCGAACGAAAGACAGCACAGGGCGTGAGGTTGCGCGTCACACTCCAAGGGCTACAAGCTCAAGTTCCACGACTGGCTGCAGGTCGACCCCATCATCCCGTTGAAGAGCCCCGAGGAATTCCCAGACATGTTYCCCCCGGCAGCTACAACAATTGTAGAAATGCAATGGTTTGGTYAGCAGTAGGAAAGAGCAAGTGTCAAATGTTCGCGAAGTTCCCTCATGGGACGATGGATCTAGTCCTTCTTAGAACGAACGTCATCACAGGAGTCTCTTCCTGGCAGATTGGGACTKTGTGGTTAAATGGGCAGGCGGAAAGGGATAGTTAGGGGGAGGGAGGAACCAGTGGGTAATAGCAGGTATCTGGCGCCTGATACAGGGCGAAGAGGATCTCTTCCCTTCTCCAAAAAACGGGGTCGGAAAGTTTGAAAAAGAGTAAGGGTGGCCACTAAGCCGGCAGAAGAGGCAGGTAGAGAGAGTTAGTGAATGAAGGGAACTGCGGTTTGCTCATAAGTGGTAGGACACCTACTTCTAGCTGTCAAGTAGGTAATTAGCCACACCCGTCACCACAGTCGAATGCCTGTTTTTTTTCCCAGCAAACGCATATGTTAAGGGACGCTGGACCCGCTTTCCCGCAGATGCTGCTCCCCACCAATAGATGGAGCCTTCCCGAGCGTGCTAGCGGTGCCTGTTCCTACCAGTACCCCTAGCATTAACTCGGGCTGTTTTTTTTTTTATATAAAAAAAAGGCCAACATCTGTTCCTCTTACGTCTATCATAAACTCGGCCTTATTCTGGTTTATCCCCAGAGAGGTCCTAGCTCACTATTCTCCTACCTAATCCCCCCACTAACAGGACCTCACTATCATCCCACCTGTGGCCCTGGCCCCCAAATGCAAGGCCCTAAGGTAACCAAGTCACGTGATCAATCTCACCACAACATTCCTGCGTGCATCCCAACTGCTTCCGTGCAAATGCGCTCTGCCTGGCCTCATCAGATTTGAACCCTCAACCTCTTCTATACAGCCCCTAGCTCAAGCCCACTGAGCTACAATGATAACTAATCTGTTTGTGCACTGTACTAGACCGGGAGACAAGTCCGTGAACAATCATCAGAGCAACCCATGGACCAAGAACATGAGGCAGACCTCTCATATCCTAAACCCCAGCATACAACAACCGTTGACTGAAACCCATAACCGTGGACTGAACCCCTTGGGTGGAACAGGCAGTGTCTGTAGTCCTTACCCTGCGCCAATCCGTCGGTTAACACCCGCTGGCCATCCGCAAGGCTGCAGTGTTTTGAACCCAGAACCTCAAACCACAATGCACATTTCCAACCCATCGCTCTACCCACTGGGCTAACAGCAATTTGGTGTGACTACGCCCTAATAGATATTTTCTTAGAAGCCCAGGTCAAATTCAAGCTCAGGTCTGCTCATCAAGGATTCATGGGTGTACCATTCAGGGCATACTCACACTAGGGCTACTTAGACTTACACGTGAATGTGATTGTGGCCATGTGCAATGTGCATGCAGGCCAGGCCGCCCCATATACTCTGACGCGCCCCACGCAGTAGTACCGGCCCACAAAGTATCTCCTGGGCCACCCAGTTCACACAGTATGACCTGCACCTGCACTACAGAGTGCCACACAACCTGCTTAGTATCATCGGGCCGCATGGTACTGCCCTGCCCACATAGTGCCACCCAGTGCACGCAGTATAAGCCACCCAACATACTGCCGCCTGACCCAAGTCCTGCCTACTACCGGCCGGTCCACATGCTATGACCCACCCCATGCAATACGACCCCATCCACACAGTATCACCCTGACCACATTATACCAGTCAGCTCATATAATACCTCCTGGCCGTGGCAAGGCCAGAATTGTGCCTGATAATGGCCATGTGTTTTTTTTTCCTTTTTTCCCATGGCCATGTCTGTGTTTGTGAATCTAAGGTAAGGTCGTTAGGGTCCTTAGGTCCGTAGGAGGCTGAAACGTCATAAGTCGATGTCGGGCTGGTACTGTACAGGCAGACGGTTAAAAGTCCAACCGGTACGCGACAAGAAAAGTCCAGGCCCAAAGTCAACTTTTGCAGCAGCGTCCCAGAAAAGTCCGGAAGGTACAGGGCCACCAAAATTCATGCAGCAGACAGGCCGCAGACTGAGTCAAGCAACTATTAATAGCTGCTACACTGCAGCTCACATCATCTAATTGTCCTGCGTGAGTTGCGGAAGTGCAGCTGGTTGGTTGTGCGACCACACAGCTTGGGCTGTGCACCAGAGGGCCTGCTTGGTGGCGCACCAGTTAGGGTCGAGGAAGGAGAAGGCGGCCATAGTGGCCATAGCTAGAGTTGGAGTTGAAGTAGAGCCCGAGGAGTTGAAGTAGAGCCCGAGGAGTTGAAGTAGAGCCCGAGTGATAGACCAGTTAGGGTGGAGGAAGGAGAAGGCCACCATACCTAAAGTTGCTGTTGAAGTTAGGGTTGAGGATAGAGAAGGCACACCGGGGTTACGATTCGAGTAGTAGTAGATAGGGAGAGAGAGAGCCGGAGTGAGAGAGCGGTAGCCGCAGGGGAGGAGACTAGAGTACCTACGTCGTGATTGAAGTTGTGGTTGGATGCGCTGATGAGCGCTGGCTATCTGAACTCTGAATGTCTATAATATGAATATCCATTGAAGTTTTCTGAGCTGCGCTGATTTGGTGTTCCATAGCTGGCTTGGGTGTAAATCTCTGTGTGAGCTTTCATTGTGCATGTTGTGTGGAGAGTAAATCTGAGCCGATCATTTCAATCAGGTCTGACGCAGTATGACCGACAAATAAAATATGTTATCTTTCAATTTCTTAATATTATTATTATTATTATTAGAGCATGTGAACTACGGTAAAGATTTGTTGCTCCCGCATGTTCCCTCATTGGAGGCTTGAGCGCGGATGTGGCTGCTACGGGGTTCTCCATATAATATTGTAATGACAATAAAAAAGGCCTGAAAGGCCGTCCTGTCCAGATTTGACAGGTCATTGAATTGGTTGGGCTTAAAGAATTAGCCTTTAAATTTAACAAAAAAAAAAAAAAAAAAAAGATTTGTTGCTGTCTTTCCTGTTTGGCGAATTTCTAACTTTTTTTTTTACTATTGTCTTTTTTTTCCCCCCCCCCCCCCCCCTCCCCCCTCTCCTACAAAAGATCCTTCCTCCCAATTCATTTTTGTGCAGTTGTATAAATGAGCAAGTTGAGCAACTGAATTATTAAGAAGAAAAACAACGCGGCAAGTTTTGAGTTTGCAAAGGCAAAAAACACATTCGCCGGCAAAGATATCACTGCGTGAGTTTGAAACGGCAATTTGGGTAGAAAAGAATACCTTGGGATGTTTTTTTTTTCCCCCCGTCTGACACCACGGCTGACCCCTGTAGTTATGACACCCCGCCTGACACCACAGCCATTGGTACTTTCATTGCGTTTTCGAACTCGACGGCTGTTTTCTTTGCCAGCACATGTTTTTTCTGCTCATTCAGATACTCAAAAGTGACATCAACGTACTTGTGTTATGTGCCTGATTGAAACGAGTTACAGTATGGCATCCACATGTTCCCATACACATGCGCAACGACAAGAGATCTTGGAGAGAGCAATTCACACCACACCGAATGGGAAGCACTTAAACCCAAAATAGAATTGAAATTACTCAATTCTCATTAATATCCCACTCCCTCCAGTCAATCAATGCACTGTTATTTCCGCGAATCCCAAGCACCTTTTTTTTTTTTTTAATCCACAAACCAACTAAGAAGAGAGTTTCAACAAGTAAGGGAGACTTCTTCTTCGTCCCAGCTTCAAGCTCACAGCTATGGCGCAGGCCTGCGCCCAACCTATCAAGCCCATCAAGCGCCACCAACCCTCCTGAACCCGACACGCCACTCACCAGTCCAAACTCGATGCCCACTGCAGATGAAGCGTTCGCTCAACAGGGCACGGTAGCTCCCAGGACGAAGAAGAAGAGCACCAGCGCTTGATGAAGAAGGAGATGGCTGCCACTTCGACAAACACTTGTAAGAAGGGTTTCGATGGCGACCCTGCCTATCCCCAACAGCACAGGTAAGAGAAGGCGCCTCACAGCGCTCAGGGCCTGATGCCCAGCGCAGTCACAACATGAGCCAGGAAGCCCCTGCTATGGAGGACAGCCCTAGCAACATGAAGATGATGCCGCAAGTGAAATAACACAGCACCCAAACAGCACGCGACCTCCAGCAGCACTTCGTGGAAAAAAATGACGAGACAGAACCCGTTTTTCCTTGCCCTCGACACTTTTATAGACTGCTGTTTTCCCTGCCTCCGCAGCCTACAGCCTAGGAAGGACAGCCTATAGCCTAGGACCGAATCTAGACCTAAAATTCGCAAAATGGGAGGACACAAACGACCTGCAACTCAAGGGCAGAAAGGACAAAACAGAGAGACCTCCCCTCAGGTCCTGTTGGCATGGTCCCTGATGCTACCGGCTGTCCCCTAGCCGGTATCGCCCACCTGCAGGCCGGGAGCAGCCCCCGCATGTTCTCTCGTGAACACGGTTCTGGCTGCTATGGGGTTCCCCGTATGCCTACAATTACTAGGAGTAGTGGTAGGTAGGTAGTGTGAGGTGAAATTGAGAGTGGTATTACAGCTAGCCTACAGAGACTAATTCAAACAGACCTGGGGATCAAGCCCAGTTGGGCTCTCACACACACACACACAAAAAAAAAGAAAACAGCAAACGAAACAGGTCGCGGGATGGAATCCCAGAGAGCTCAAAACCAGGCAACATCAAACGAAGTCAGTGTACAGCCCGCATGCCCTTGCAATTCATTGCACTTGCCCCTACTAAAAAAGATGAAATCAACATCGCTTTGGGTATTTCACTATTTTCTTAGTATTCTTAATTTCTTACATCAACATTTTTTAATTAGTCTGGTTGGGTCAATTTGTTGCCTTCTACTTCTCCAAACAAATCATTTCTCTCTCTCTCTCTCTCTCTCTCTCTCTCTCTCTCTCTCTCTCTCTCTCTCTCTCTCTCTCTCTCTCTCTCTCTCTCTCTCTCTCTCTCGCACGTGCCCGCTTGGCGGCGCGTCTCACGGACTCTCACCATTTCCTGATACCCTGAAAGTCCTTTCTCTGCCTCGCCCTTCCCCCACCCTTTGTCACACTCTATATGTCTATCTCGGTGTTGAATACATCTGTCTGCTCTTCACTGTGTGTGCACTTGCAGGCTACTGATCCAGGGTGGATGGTGACTACGAATATGGTGCATTACAAGCCCCCACTCACGCGGTTTCTGGACCTTACATCAACAGAGTATGCCGACATTCTCAAGCAACGTGAACTGAAGTGTTCAGAGGAGGAAGAGATGCTTCAGGAAGTGATCAGGTTCTCTGTTCTGTCGGTCTTTTTTCTGTGTGTTTGGGGGTCTATGTGCCTCCTGTACGGTTGTCTGCCTCTCTCTCATGGCGACTGTCTCTCTCCCCCTCCCCTGGCTCCCACCTTCCCTCTGTCTCCCCTTTCTTCTTCTTCTTATTCTTATTCTTATTCTTATTCTTATTCTTATTTTTTTATTTTTTTTCCTCCCCCGCCCTCCTCCCTCTCCTCTTCTCCTCTCCTCACCTTCCTTCTCCTCTTCGCCTTTCGTCCTCCTAATCTCTTCCTTCCATTTCTTTTTTTCCTTCTATCTTTTTTGAAAGGGCGACGGCCTTGAGATACTATCACTGAGCTGACCGGCCCCAAATAATTCAGGCATTTCATTCACCTAGGTAGTTTCTTCTGCACTCGGACTTAGGTCTGTGTTTCAACAGATCAGGGCTAAGGCCGCTAGCCCCGTTTGTTCTCTTCCTTTTCAACAAATTCCACACGAAATATTGAAGTGGACAACAGGTCGGTGCACTCCAGCATTGATTGCCCCAGAATGTCGGGGCCCGGGGGATTTACTGGGTGGGCAGTGGAGCTGAAAAGACCAACCTTGCTGCATATACCCTACTACCGGATGGCTGAAATTATGCGTATACCCAGCAGGTGCTGGGCCACAATGGTCCACTTGGTGGGCATGAGCATAATTTTGTGGTCCGCCATCCGAGGCCCGCGACTTTTTTTTCTTTTTTTCTTTTTTTTTTTGATGTGGCCACACCCGAAATTTTGCCAGCCAGATGTTTGGGCATGAGCATCATTTCATGGTCTGGGACCGAGGGCCTGCGGCACTGGGTATGCCTCCAATTTTGCACAGGGGGCCGAGTTAGGTACTCTGCAAAGATGAACAGGATGGGGTATAGATGCAAGTTGGGCGCTGGGACTGGGTATAGCGGGTAATTTCTCGAATTTAAGTGGGGTACAGAATCTAGAAATCTACAGATGCATTTTTCCTGAAAATAAATCATTTGCCCGGCCAGTATGCACCTGTATCGCTCCATATCCAGGTGGGGATAGTGTGTTTCGGCATCTTCTTTTTATTATTATTAGGGGTAACTACGGCGCAGTCACGAAAACAGTTTGTAAATGCATTTCAAACTGCGTTTTGGCACTTCAGTCAGGGCCCGAGTTTGAAATCCAGTTCAAACTCGGGCTGCCTTCAGTC